GAATGATATTTTTGAAAAAAAATTATGTTAAGGGCATTTTAGTCCAAAACGTCCGGAATATAACAATACCTAAGGGATTTGGGATAATCACATTCCCGGTAATAAGCCCCCAAAATACCACTGTTGAAAATGACTTATTACCGGGGGTTGGGAATCTTTGCAATCCAAATGGGGGAATCACATTCTGGAAAAAAATATTTCCCCCGGTAATCTTACATACCCCCATCCAAACGCACCCTTAGGGGTGGCAACAAAATGAAGCTTGTAAAAACGACATCGTTTTGAGTTCTCACAGCCGCACGTGTTGTGAGCTAATAACATAGGGTAATCTATGTCAAATACCACTCACCTTTAGGCGCTAACTCGAAAATGCCATTGACGTTTCAATTTTGCCAATTTAAGCACTAACGTTTATGTTTTACTCCAATTAAGCCACTCCGCTGTTAATCCGTTAACGAGACGATGACATGGCATGGATGGGCCGTGACGGTGATGACGTGGATGCCATACCAAAACGACGTCGTTTCAACACAATTATTTTGATGCTCAATAAAGACAAAACGACGTCGTTTTGCTTGAAAAATTATTAAAATAATATGAAACTCATGGATTTAAACCCCAAACCCCTAGATATTAAACATAATATTTAACCATTGAGCTACCTTATATTTCTTTGTTGGTTTTTCTACAAATGTTTTTAACGATGCTTGAAAAAAACTGATGATATTGCACCGCATAAGATGTTGTGACTGAGATCTAGAACTTGTAAGAACTTAATATTGTCGATGTTGTCTAGGATATTGTTCCTCATCGAGAGCTCGACGAGAGATACTGGAAACGTTGATGGGACTTGGCCGGATACGTTGTTATCACTAGCGTCGGGAAAGTAAAGCTTTCTGAGTGAAACCAGATCAGGAAACTCACTGAAAATGTAGTTTCGTTGGATTTTGAGTCATTTCAAGCGTGTTAGGTTGTTAAAGCTTGGAGGAATTGGTCAATAGAGATGGTTTTTGTCAAGGTAGAGTTCTTTAAGGTGAGGGAGTGAGCCAAGAACTGCGGGTATTTCAACGGTGACTGAGTTCCCAGAGAGACCTAGTCGACCCAAGCGTGTTAAATGTGCAGGAATAGGTGGATAGTTTCTATCAGAAGGTGGAAGATGCAGAAAACTCATTTGGTCAAATGTGCAGTTGATGCTTCCTATGGTGACATGGCTAGTTAATCGGGTGGTAATATTCATTACAAGGGCTGTGGAGCTTTTTATTTTGGGGGTGGGTGGGGGATATTACTGTTTTGATTAGCTTTGAATATGCATTCGTGCTATTTTAAGGTGTTTTTGTTTCAAGTTGAAGCAATTAGAAAAACCTTCTGGCTTTATTAATTTTTGCCTTGAAGAGATGTTGCACATTTGTAAAGTTTAAACTAACAACTGTGTTGCATTGATGTACATTTTTTTGTTTCTTTGGACTTATTATTGAAGGCAAATGGTCTTTGTAAGCATATGATCTTCAATTAGTCACTGATATCTAATTTTGGATTCAAGATTGAAAGTTCTTTGTAATTTGGAAATACCATATGCTCAGCTTCAGCATTGCGTATATTCATTGGCCATGGAGCTAATTTAACCTTGACATTTTTGGTTTCTTAATGAGCTTGGATGCACCTATGATGTGCATTTATCAGGAGCCTACAAATTGGAGAACGAGTCATGAACTCGAAGCAAACCAGAGACGAGTGTATCACACCTGAGGCCGCAAGTGAAGTGGTCAGTGAAGATGTTGTCGCATGGAATAATGGAGAAATCCCATGAGCTCAATCAAGATCCGGAGCAATGGAAGGAGGGTCCACACCATTTTTCAGATCTTTGAGAACTTGTACATCTGCTGGGTGTGTTCTTGAATTTACTAAAAGCAACAACTTTGAGAATATGGTGATGAAAACAAGAGAATGAAGATGGAGATAAAGGGTACTAGATATCGATGCCAGGGGTTAAGCAATAATTTTATTTGGGGTTCAAGCATTATTAACTAGAGTTTTAAAATTTTAAAACTTTTATAGAAAAACCAATAAAGAAATATAAGGTGGCTCAATGGCTAAATATTATGTTTAATATCTAGGGGTTTGATGTTCAAATCCCATGAGTTACATATTATTTTAATAATTTTTTAAGCAAAACGACGTCGTTTTATCTTTATTGAGCATCAAAATAATTGTGTTGAAACGACGTCATTTTGGTAAGTCATCCACATCATCACCATCACGGCCCGTCCATGCCATGTCATCGTCCCGTTAATAGATTAACAGCGGAGTGGCTTAATTGGAGTAAAACATAAACGTCAATGCTTAAATTGGCAAAATTAAAACGTCGGTGGCATTTTCGAGTCGGCGCCTAAAGGTGAGTGGTATTTGACATAGATTAGCCAATAACATATTTAATCCTCGTAAGTTTTGTAAGCTTTACGATTTAGTCATCAAATGAAATTGAATTTTTTCCTTTTTTTTGGCATTTTAATTTTCTATGATTTTCATTATGGTCCTTTACCCTTTTGATTCATATTTTATGATATATTGATTTTTGCATTATATTTTATTTTTCTCCTGTTTTAGTCTCGAATGCTTTAGGGTTTTATTTCAGTTTTAGTGCTTGTATTATATGGTACTTTCCTCTTATGCCATGAAGTTGCTTTGCTTGTTGATGTACCACTAAGGTTTCTGTTTGCATTATTTAGCCCCTGTTATTTTCATTTTCTTTTAATTTGGTCCTTAGTTAGTTTTATCATTTTATACATTTAGTCCTTATACTTTTTATTATTTAATTTTAGTCCTTTATATATATATATATTATACTATACGTGCTCCATATTTTATTTGTATTTTCTATTATATATGAATATATATACCATATACACGTCCATACGCATTACTTTTTAAACTTTTGCTTAAGTTGGAATTAGTTACATATATAATAAATGTATATTTTTATAAGCCTCGTTTATTTTTCCTCACGTATGTATATATCATATTATTTTATATTATATATATATATATATATATATTTAATATTTCTTAACCCTTATATATTTATATATCCTTTGCTAATTTTTTTAATTTATGAAATACCCCTATGTAAGTATATTTTAGAAATGTTTTGCTCGAATATAATTTTCAAGAATATTTATCGTAAAATGATTGTGATAAGCATACTTAATAGTTGTTGTACGATTCAAGATAACATTTGAACGAAATGTGAACTTCAAATAAATTGAGTCATTCTTTAAATAAAATATATACCCTTGTAGTTTTTAGTAATACCTTCTTTGATCGAGTAATAAATGGAAGAGTGTTCTAAATAGTTGAAACACAACTCCGTAAAATTATTTGATTGAATTGATATTTCATTATTTTTTAATAAAATGTCTTTGAATAATAATAATAATAATAATAATAATAATAATAATAATAATAATGACGTGCAGTAACTTTTTTTTTTGTATGTTTTAATAATTTAATTGTTGTTTGACATTTTAATATATCCATATTTGAATTGTGTATATTTTTATTTGCATAAATAAGAAGGCAACATTGTTTGAAAAATCAAGGGGATAGACTTCTAAATGGATGAAGCGCAAATCTCGTTAGTTTTTCAGAATAAAATGATTGTATTTTATATATATATATATATATATATATTTGAATTGGCAAATTCAACTATCACGATAATGTATAAGTTACTAGGTACCAATTTTGGATATTGTAGGGGTGTTTACTCTTTTCCATACGTAATCGATTCCCAAACCCTTTAAATGAATCTTTAGTAAACGCATACCAATTTTCTTCTTTCAAATGATTTTTTAAAAATTATTTTCAAATGACGCTATTTAGGTATTAGCCATACTTAATCCAATGGTCGATAACGACTCCAAATCAGATTTATTAAAAATCTAATTTTCTCTCAAATAAGTCGTAAATTAAGATTTTTTTTATATAAGGGATCACCTTTTAAAAAAAACGTTCCACAATTATAAGGATAAAACATGAATAAATGGGTAAATAAGACAGAAATAATTATCATAAGAATCTCAACCACCCAAAATTTACTTAAAATAAAAATAAAATATTGTTTAAAATATTATAATAGTTTTTCTTTTATTTGCATTATCCAACCTAGATTAGATCTTAATTAATTAATTAAATTTATTTTAATTAAATCTCGTTATTAAATTCCTTCCCAAATAAATAGTTAAGTTTAAGATTTTTTTCATGACTTTTTTTGAGCTTCAATTCATTGTTTCAAGTTTAAGTCGAGCTTGAAAATTTTAGGTTCTCGAGTTTTCGAGTCGAATCGAGTTTTATTTTAGAGTTTTCGAGTTAGAGTCGAGCTCGAATCCTAGTTGTATTGAAGTTATTCAATAAAATAATAGGGTACTCTTTTCTGCTTTTGTTGTCTTGATTGAATTTTGACTCGATTGAGTTAAGAGAGATTTTTTTAACGAGATTTACATTTCTTTTAAAAAAAATGTAGAGAACTAAATAAGTTTTTGGGGTGTAAAATAATGAGACGGACTTTGACAATTATAAATATAAAACATGAATAAATGGGTAAATAAGACAGAAATAGTTATCATAAGAATCTCAACCACCCAAAAAAATGTACTTAATATAGAAATAAAATATTGTGTAGAATATTATAAGGTTTTTTTTTCTTTTATTTGTATTATCAAACCTAGATTAGATCTTAATCAATTAATTAATTTTTTTTAATTAAATCTCCTTATTAAATTCTTTTAATCAAATCTCCTTATTAAATTCCTTCCCAAATAAATAAACATATTAATGACCAAAGAATATTAATTAAACTTTACAACTGTTCCACATTAATACTATTTTCCCACTTTGGCCTCTAAAATAAGTGTTGAGAATTTATGGCAATATAAATCCTACTTCTTTGACCGAATCCACAATGCTATAAAAACCAAATCCCCATTGTCTTTACTTCTTACACCATGGTTGACCTCAAGGAAGAATTGGTGCCATTAATGGTGGCACTTTGCATGACGTTCCCGTCGGTATACGCAGTCACCGAAGATGTTCTATGGGTCAACTACCATATCCACATAACCAACGATTTGCCGACGTCGGAATCGGAATCTAGCAAGCCGTCATTGTATCTGCATTGTAAGTCTAAAAACAAAGACCTTGGTGAGAAAGGCATGGTTCAGCATGAGGATTACACATGGGATACAAAAATAAACGTGTTCAGGACCACCCTGTTCTTCTGCCATGCAGTGTGGGTGAATCATAAGGAGAGGTATTTTGTGGCTTTCAAGGCCACACGAGATGAAGATCGGTGCATGGTTTATCATTTTTCTTGCTTGTGGTCGGTCAAGGAGGATGGGATTTATTTTAGCAATGATCAGCTTACTTGGACTAATGCTTACCCATGGTAGATTCTTGTTGAAGTGATCATTTGGAAATAAATAAATCATTTCTTTCTAATATCCTAATAATCATATTTTCTTTTTAATATTTTCATATTTTAAATTTAAAATATTTTTATTTTTTAAATCAAATAACCGTTTGAACTTTTTAAAAAATCAATTTGGCCATCGAACTTGGAAAAAAAAGCAATTTAGCCCATTTGTCACATCATCAGCCACATCACCAACCAATGTAGACTTCCATGTCAACAACGTGAAGTGCCACGTAAGCATTGTAACAGTCAACGAAGGAAATTATTAGTCAATGGGCCACATTGACTGAAAAAAATTCGAAGACCATATTAATTTTTTTAAAAGTACAGAGACCTGAGGTAACATTTTTCCTATATATATTTAAGGGTAAATTATATTATTGACCACTCAACTATTTAACCATTTTACTTTTAAAACTGATCTTTTTTTTATCAATCAAACCACTAAACTATTTAATTGTTATCAATCAAGCCACTTGCCTTTAACATTTAACAAATTAGGTGATGTGAAATATTTTGGTATAATCATACATTTGGTTCCTCCTATTTATATATTCTCTCAATTTAGTCATATTTTTAATAAATTAAAATAAATTTAATAATTGAATAAGATGATGTCACGTTTCACTATTAAATTAGATGATTAAATTTATTATAATTTGTCACGTAGAAAATAAAAATAAAAAAACACAAATATGTGGGATAGGAGACTCAAACCTAGAATAGATGTGAAAACAATTAAACACCAAGCCACTAAGCCTACGCCACTGCTGGATTAAAATAGCGACATTTTGTGTGTGTGTGTATACTGTTGGCGGGGAGCTACCCTTACCTAAAATTTTTAATGTACCAAAAAAATATATTGTTGGCACTTGGCAGGGATTGGCATGAGACCCGAATTAGACGAGTTATGATATGATCCGATCTGATCGGGTTGAATTTTTTTAAAAACAATTTAGGTTAAGTTCGGCTCTGGTCGGGTTTAGGTTTTGGGTGAAAAATATTCGATCAGACTTGACCCAAAAAAATATAATTTTACCTCATATATTTATAGATAATTGCAATAATAGTCCTTCATATATTATTTTGTAATTAAATTTTTATTTTTATTAAATACAAATAATATTTTTAATAAATATATTATTTTGGGTCGGGTAGGGTTCAAATTTTATCTTAAAAAATCGGGTTGGATTCAGGTTAGGTGGAAGACATATATTTTTTGGATCAAATCGAATCAAGTCGGATGAAAGATGAATTTTTTTTGGATTGAGTCGGATTGACCGAAACTCGACCCCTGCACATCCCTACATGATAGTTTAAAGAAATTAAACCGTACAAAATTGGAAAAGGGGTGATTGGAAGATCAAGCATATATTTTATTGCTATATTAATTTTATTAAAAATATATTTGATTTTTTACTTTAACTTATTAAATTTATGTTAAAAATATATATATATATATATATATAAATTAAGTTTAGAATAAAGTATATTTATTTAATTTAAAATAAAATTAAAATACTTTTAAGTTAAGATGAGAATAAATTATATTTAATAATTTAAAATAATAATATAATATATTTAATAAATAAAAATAAAATATATACTTTCAAAAGTTAAAATAAAAAAATATTTTTAAAAGTTTTAATTAGAAAGAATATATTTTCAAAATTAAAATAATAATAAAATATATTTTTAATTATATTAAAAATAAAATATATTTAATAAGTTAATATAAAAATAAAATATTTTTTTGAAGTTAATATATAAAAATTATTATAAGTATTTATTCACTAAAGTTGTTATATAATACATAGAGAAAATAACCTCAGTGACTGAAAATTCCTTATAATATACGATTTTGACCAACTTTTTTTCGATTTGCCAAAATGACCAACAAATCGCAATGCGATCTCTAAATCGCAACGCGATCTCTAGTATCGCAAATCAGTTTCCAGATTCGCAACGCGATTTTGACTATCGCAATGCGAATATGTAAATCGCAACGTGATTCTGACTATCGCAATGCGATAATACATAATCGCAACGCGATTCTGACTGTCGCAACACTGAATTTCAAATTCGCAACAGGTTTTAGTTTCGCAACACAAATGTTTTGGGTATATAACTACGCAGCAGAAGCAACTCATAACCTAAATCCCTAAATCGCAACTTCCATATCCATCTATCACTCTCTCCAGTGACATCCGTTCCTATATCCAACGACATCCTTCCCCATCCGGTAACAGGTTTTAGTTTCGCAGCTCGTTTGTTTAGTAAATTAATTTACAATAATGAAATCATCTAATGTTGATCATGTTTGGATAGATTTGTATTTTGGAGGGTCATGGGAGAATGTTCATGGTGTTTTACAATATATGCCTTTACCCATGAATCTTCAACTAAAACTGTCATTAAAAAAGTTAACTTATGAAACTCTAATGTTACGTGTTGCAAATAAATTGAATTTAGAGCCCTTAAGTGGATTTAGGCTATCTTATCAGAGAAAAGGTAAAGTTTATTTGTTAACCGACAATAAAGATATTGAACGATTCATTGCTTACATTAGTGTTTCGCAAGATGATGTTGCATTGTATGTTGTTGAACCTAGAAGTAGTGAAGTTGGGTCAGTAGCGGGTAGTAATCAACTAAGTTTTTCAACCCCAGTTTATGGTGCTCAAAATTTAATGGTTCCACCACAATTTCATCACCAAGCAAATTTTGTTTCACCACATTTCCAATACCAAACACAATCTCAAAACCCACAACCTTTCCCTAATCCAAATTTCAAAAAAACTTTCAGCACCAAATTCCGGTTTTCGTATTAACCAGTTAGACGATGATGAGCCAACAGAAAAAATTGTGAGTACTAGTCGGTATTCGAAATTTGATCTTGGTCAATACCCGGACTTTGATCTTGGTCAATACTCGGATTTTGATGATGTTTCAGAAGAAGAAACAGACCCTGCGTGTAATGATTTTGATATTGGTCAATACTCGAATTTTGATGATGAAACAGCCGCTGCCGAGGAAGATGTTATTGATGATAATGAGGAGGAAGTTACGATTGTGAATGAACATGTTGAACATCCATTCTGTAATTCATATAACCCTGAAGAAGAAAAAGAAGAAGAAGAAATCCCCGAAGAAAAGTCCCCGAAGAAAATGCCACGGGAGTATAACTGGAATATGCCAGAATTACTTCAGATACCGGAAGAAGAGTTGGTAAAAATAGCAGTTGATTGTTACACAAAAATTATTCGTATCAAGAAAGATGATTGTTTTGATACAAAGGAAGACTTGAAGATAGCTTTGTATACGAAATGTGTGGAAGATGGCTATCAACTAAAAGTTAACAAATCAAGCAAAGATCGTTTCAAAAACAAGGTGTATGATTGACAAAAACTGTACGTGGCGTATGATTGCAAAGAGGATAAAAGATTGCGAAATGTTTCAAGTTAGGACTTTTATTGATAAACATACATGTTCAAGAACCCAAGTTTTTCCTCACCATAGACAGGCAAACAAAAAGGTGTTGGGTGGTTTTCTGGCTGAGTTAATATTTTTGAATGGCAGGGTATATCGGGGACATGAAATTATGACTGACATGAATGCTCGGTTCAAGATTAGTATCTCATATTCTCAAGCTTGGAGAGCCAAATGTTATGCCTTGGAATTGATGAGGGGGTCGCCAGAAGCATCGTTTGCCAAACTGCCGGCTTATTGTCACAATTTAAAGCTGAAAAATCCTGGGTCGGTAATTCATATCAAAATAGATAGAGATGGACGCTTTGAGTTGATGTTTATCGCCATTGGTGTTGCGGTTAGTAAATCAATATAATTTTGTTGACTCATTTTTGTTAGTTACATGCATTTCACATTTAAATGATTATATTTCTTGTGTATATGATTTTGTAGATTCGTTCGTTTATTACTTGCATGCGCCCAGTTATTATAGTTGACGGAGCACATTTAAAAGGTCGATACCTTGGAGTAAACTTATTAGCAGTAGCCATGGATGCTAACAATGGGATACTGCCAATAGCTTACGGGGTTGGCAAATCTGAAACCTCTGATTCATGGACATGGTTTATGGGGCATCTTAGGGATTGCATAGGTCCTATTAGAAATCTGACAATCATATCCGATAGGGCAAACTCAATTGAAAACGCTGTTAGAAGGTGTTTCTCAGATGCTTTTCATGGACTTTGTGGTGTTCATTTATATAGAAATCTAAAATCAAGGTCTGCTGGTATAAAAAATCACAAATGGACATACTGGAAGGCTGTAAAAGTTTATCGGGAAGTGGATTTTAATAAGCATATAAATTGTTTAAGACGTGTTTTGCCTCAGTGTGCTCAAACACTAGAAGATGTCGGGTTTGAAAGATGGTCAAGAGTACATCAACTTGGAGCAAGATATGGTTTCATGACGTCTAATAGTGCAGAATCAATCAACGCTCTAAGTCGTCAATCCCGGAAATTACCCATTACTATGTTAATGGAGTTTTTTTGAGCCTCTATTCAACAGTAGTACTACAAGAAAAGAAACCATGCAGGTATTATTTCTTTAAATTCGTAACTTATCATATATTTTACTAAGTATTATTTATTTAAATTTACAGGAACATTGGAACATCGTGTTACACCATGGACTGAAAAAAAGATAACGAAACGTGTTGTGAAGTCAACGTCATGGAGAGTTGAACCATGTTCAAACACTTTGTTTGAAGTACTGATAATAACTTAAATAGTCTTGTCGATCTAAATGCAAAGGCGTGTAGTTGTATGAAATGGCAAACATCTGGTTATCCGTGTGGGCATGTTATAAAAGTTGCTCTTCATCTAAACCAAGATGATTCAAGCGCATACGCTATGGATTGCTACACTATAGAAGTATATCGACAGACTTTTGCCGAGATTATCTATCCTATTCCACATCCTTCTGAGTGGGACATACCAGATGACTTACAAACAG